TTACCCAACTATTAATTTCTCTGGTAACAGCTATGATTCTTAGGGGCTTTAATGAAGCTTAGTTTTATATAGTGACCATTTCTGGACCCCTTCGTCACAGGACCCGGGACAGATTTTCCAGTTGTTGTCCTAACTTCTTCTGCACACCTGTTACAGATGTTAATGAATCGAAACCGCCTGCACATCTGTAGACCGTGACATTAGTGAGCTCCATAAATCATCTTGGCTGCTTTCTATTGCCTTGTTGTCCTTTCTCCTTTGCCATCTCGTCTGGTGTTCAGAAGGCACTGCAGGACTGCGAGAGGAGATAAGCACAGCGGGATGCAAAATTAAGCGTGTGAGAAAACTGAGATAGTGGGGTGAGATAGAGGAAAATGTGTTAAAGTGAGAGAGAGCGAGCGACTGGAGAGTGCTGTGCAGGCCTGTGCCGTCCCGTCTCACTCACAAATACCCGCTTTCTTCACCATGGTAACGGTCCCTATCCGATCCTCACAGGAACTCGAGTTGCTGTTGTGAAGGATTATTTGACTATTCAAACGCACAACTAAGATATTGGACAAGAGAGAATAAACACAGAGACCGTCTGTTGGAGTGACATTAAATCAGATAGGATTTAAAAGAATATTTCCTCTTATTTTTAACGAGTGAGTAAATGAGTTTACCTGTTTAGTGTGTCCCTGGAGTCCCATTTAGCCATTTGTTAGCAATCGTCTTTTTCAAGATGCAAAAAGCTTAAAAAAACATGAGTATTAATGATGTATTTTATGTCATAGAATAAAACATTATTTTGAGCTTGTTTTAACCACAGACCATATTTCAGGCTGTTATCTAAAAACCCATTCCAAAAACAAAAAACATTTATTTTGAGACAATGGAACAGGAAGTTTAAAAATGCTGATTCGTTTCTGAGTTTTTTGGACTCTATTAAAGTCCTCCCATAGTCAAATATTTTATCCCTTAAAACTTATCTTTGATAACCAAAATTACATATTTAAATGTTTTTTCTTGTGAAAATAATTTTCTCATGCCTTAAAACAGCTTGACTGTAACTCCAACACTCTTGCCTCATTTATTATACGCTGATCTATGAATATGCAAATTAGCCCCGCCTCCACTCACTCACAGCAGCCAGCGCCTCCTGATTCACTGAAATGTAGTAAACGCAAAACAATGGCATACACGGATAATGACTGATAAAACTATGTTTTTACTAGCGGACAACTACAGTGAATAGGGATGTAACGATTAACCGCGAGCCGGTTGAAAATCGATTCAAATATGTGACGATTCAAATCGGTTGAGATGCTAAACAAATCGCGATTCATTTAGGAGTTTATATGAATGCATGTCTGAGGGGAACTTACTGTCTTTAGAAAAGTTTAGATGGTATTTTTTCTTTTCATCTTGCCTCTGTATAATG